TCAAATGATACTAATTGTAATAATATTACAATTTAAACTTATATATTTGATTAATAAAAACTGCGATGTAATTGCTAACGTATAAATTTAATTATTTTAAATATCTGTGAATAATTTGAATATAAAATTTTTTTATTAAAAATGTTTAATTGTATTTATTAAATTTTATATTCATTATTAAATAAGTTAAATAATTAAGAAATAATTGTTTATATTTTATCGTATACTCTATGGAAACAATCTATTATAAAATTGTTGTGTGAAATAGTTTATTATGATATTTTACAAATTAAATCAAAGCATAATAATATTTATGAGAAAACGTTATTTAAAAGTAGCAGTCTGTTTTTATTTTTAAATACTCATTAAATAATAATATTGAGTTATTTAATCACAAGTGTGATCATTATAAAAACTAAAATTTCAGAATTACTATCTATTGTATTAAAACTTCATAATTAAATTGTACATAAAATTATTCTCTAGACGTATTTTAAACAAATATTATCTGAAAGTCTATGACAACATAATTGTCATACAATTTCAATGTAATTTATAATTGTATTAATGAAAAATAGCTCATTACTAATGAGTCATTAGTAACTGATACTGTTTATAAGTATCACGACATCCCACTCACTATTTGCATACTATTTGTGATAAAATTGATATTCATATTATTATAGATACTGCATTTCATTAATAGGAGTTTGAAATATTATTTTATATTAAGAAATCTTTGCTAATTGTATGAAATACCCAAACATCACATCAAATACTATGGAATCAAATGCTGAAATGAAACAAATATTAGACCAATTGAATGGTGAGGCTATTGCGGAAATTGGTAGTGGGTCATTTGGTGTGGTTTATAAAGTGCGATACGTGGTAAATGATGATCAAGATGAATGTGCTTTAAAAGTAATTGCCATCAAAGGTAATTTTATATTGTTGTAATTATAATTAAACTAATAAACTTAAAAATATATTTATAGAGGGTTTATTATCGGGGTAATAATTGTATTGAAGTAAAACTTAAAAATTACTAAATATTATTTTTAACTATAGGTGCGAATGAAGGGAAGTCTCGTATTGAGGAAACAGAGAGGCGGTCACTAAAAGTAATGCAAGACCTAGATAACTGTTACATAACTAGATATATGAACTCATATTATTATTACAATCATAGATTATGACAAACCATATATTCATTCAAATGGAGTTATGTGAGTGCACTCTAAGGCAATTAATTACAGCAAAGGATCAGCTATTTAAACGTGAGAACACGACTGAGCCTGGTCACCTCGAATTTTTCATTAGTATCACATGGCTTAATGAGATTGCTCAGGGTCTCAAGTACCTACACACTCATAAGCCACCGATTATGCACCGCGACTTAAAACCAGAAAATATATTCATGGCTACTGTTAAGCCTAATACTGTGCTGTTGAAGCTTGGTGATTTTGGTCTGGCTAAAATACAAGCCGTTGCCTCGCAAACTAATACTCGGAAAGTGGGAACACCTATCTATATGGCACCGGAAGTGTGCGCCGAAGAGGACTATAAGAAATATGACATAATGTGTGATATGTATAGTCTCGGAATGTTTATCAAAGAGTTGTTTAACTTTGATTAGTAAGTCTCTCTCTCTCTCTCTCTCTCTCTCTCTCACTCACTCACTCCTACTCACAAATATTAAGCTATAAATGACTTACATTTGTTATTTGATTAGCAATGAAGAACAGCAATCAACTCGTATGAAAAATGTGCAAGATATGTTATTGGATTTAATTCAGGATAGAATTAGCAAACGACTCAGAGTTCAACAATTTTGGACAAAATATCAGAAATTGAAAGCAAAGACTATCAAAAGGTTTTGGACGATTACACCAATTATTATGAGCGCTTAATAGATGAGCAAAATAAATATTTATATAAATATGTTTCCAATAAAATTGAAAAACTGTGAGAATGTTTGAACAGGCAGATTATTATAATTAATTACACAATTTATTTTATTATTAAGCGACCCTTAAAATTTATATTAAATTAATTAAAATAATTATTAACAAAATAAATATACTTTTATTTGTAATGTTACATTCTCAATTCTTAAATGCTTAGCTATCAACCGATAAAATTTTATATTGTTATGCAATATAAATTTATCAAATAACCTATGGAAACAACTTATTATATTTATTAATCTGTATGTGAAATAGCATTTATACATATTAATAAAATTTATTAATACAAAACAATTCATTGTGCTGAAATAATTGATAAATGTCTGCCATTATAATAAGATTTAGATTTTAATAACTAAATAAATTATTGAATTGGCATTTATAACATGGCGTCCAATGATAGCGATTATAATTATGAATTAGAATAAGTATTGAAAGAGATTCAGGGTGAGGTTGTCAGTGAAATTGGTCGTGGTACATTTGGTGTGGTGCATAAAGTGCGATATTTATCTGATGATCAACAAAATGATTGCACCTTAAAGGTGATCGATATAAAAGGTAATAATTTTGCAATTAGTCAATTATGATTATGATTAATTGTACTTTTATTTACAACCTCAATGTATTATTGCACAATTTCTTACATAAAATGTGTTATTAATTTCATAACATTTATCATTTGATTGCAAATAATAATAGAAACAAAAGAAAATGATTTACACATTGAAGAGGACGAGAAAAAATCGCTGCAATTACTGCAGGGCCTGGATAACAATTATATCATTAAATACTATGGCTCGTGGTTTAAAACAAACCATATATTCATTCAAATGGAGTTATGCCAATGCACTCTAAGGCAGCTCATTGTGAGCAAGGACAAACTATTCGACCGCATACTTAATTCTGAGCCTGGTGACCTGGAATTTTTTATCAGCATTGCATGGCTTAAAGAGATTGTCCAGGGTCTCATGTATTTGCACAAACAGGAGAAACCTCTAATTCATCGCGATTTAAGACCAGAAAATATATTCATGGCATCTTATGACGCGGATAGTATTTGTTTGAAGCTTGGTGATTTTGGATTGGCTCGTATACAGGACATTGCGTCCCAGAGTAATAGCCGGGGTGTGGGTTCGCCCCAGTATTTGGCACCTGAGATATGCGCCGACGAAGACTATAAAGTATTTGTTTGAAGCTTGGTGATTTTGGATTGGCTCGTATACAGGACATTGCGTCCCAGAGTAATAGCCGGGGTGTGGGTTCGCCCCAGTATTTGGCACCTGAGATATGCGCCGACGAAGACTATAAGAAGTATAACGTGTCGGCAGATATGTATAGTCTGGGAATGTTTATCACGGAATTGTTCAAGTTCGATTAGTATGTGCTCTCTCTCTCTCTCTCCCATCTCTCTCTCTCCAATTAAAATTATTTATTTAATTACAAATTGTAGTACAGAGGAACCGCATGATAAGCGAATGGTGAACATCCAGGCAATGGTATTAACTTTATTGGAGAATAAGACCAGTAAACGACCCACAAGTGAGAAACTAATGGATCAGATAATCAATGCTGAGATCAAAGACAATCAAACAATTTTGAATGATTAC